ACTTCCTAAGAATGTGTCTTACAAAAAGCGACCTAAACACCAAAAGTAATCTCTAAGAAACAATATGGTATTGAGTTCTATCTAGACTATACTAGTAGGATTTTCGATTCCCGACAATAGTTTCAGACTTCTTGTAAACTTAAATTGGTCGGATCCGTGTTTACAGGCAACTAGCGGCATCCAATCGTCCGGGAAATTATTAAGGCGGGCGGATGTCGGGCGCCCGCCCTCGACGCGTTGCCATGCCGACGGGAGTGCTGAATTAGTTAACGAATGATGAACATCCACCCCTGTTCGATTGTTGCCGTCAAAGCCTGCGTTCGTATTTCGAAATTGGGATGTAGCATATCATGAATGGATGATAATTTCCTCCGTTTATAGTATTGAATACATACGAGTATTACCATTGGCTGATAATACTAGATTATGGCTACGAGTTCATCTATTTATTATGTATTATCTTGTTTCGATTGCGTCACACCAATATCATCATCTTACCCGCCGCTGACAATTGAGTATAGAGATAATTGTGAAAATGTAATACCTATCTTAAATTCTAACATTACAATAGTATACGTAAAACATTGCAATAATAGATAATACTATTTTGAAATAAATTATAAATTTATCGCTCTTGATATTATTGTGAAAATAAAAATATGATAATAGACTGGCTTTATAAAAGAGAACAGTTGCAACACAGCTTTTATCTATACAGGAGATAAGAACATTTATTTGCATATACCTGGAAACTTCAAACAGCGTTCCAAGGTGGTGGAAGGAGCAACGGATTTGTTATGATTTACTCACCGACAGTTAACAACTAGGTGTAACAATATTTGTTAGCTACGAAGTTTATAGATATTTTTGTTCCTTAGATTGTGTGTCCACTAAACCTACGTCATGTTATCATAATGTAGCGAATGTTTACAAAATTACGTTCTTGAATAGTTTTATCTGTATACACTAATTATTATCAATAAACTTGAAGACACATAAATTTACGTGGAAACAAACAAGATATAAGACTGCAATTACGTATCTATTTAATTATTACGGGTCTTCTAGATTACGGTATAATTAATCGTTTATATTGCACGTATTTGAACTTTGACCGAGTAATTATATCCTAAACATACTTTGAACAAGTGAATACTAATTAATATCTCAGTGTTTTACTATTACAGTAACAAAAACTATATAATTATAATAAGCGTTTATATTTATCACAAATATTTTTATAATTCGTGATTAACATGCGAGTTTCAAAAGTAATTAGCTGTTTGCATGCCTTAACTGCGCTGTAAGGCTCCGTTATTATTAAAGTTATAATGAATTAACAAGTTGAAAACTGAATCAACTTCATAACGAGGCAGTCTTGCAGTCTTTTAATCTTGTCTGCTTAAATGTAAACTTTGGTTCGTTAGGTATTTGACTTGTATAGAATTAATAACAGTGCACTTCTTGTTTTACTTCGGTGGGTGTCGCGACGTCGAGGTCTTTGACCGACGCCATTGGTTACTGTGGCAACGGGAATCTATAAGTTGGGTACACAGCTTCATATACTGCGCCTGAAAACACCGTAGAAAAAAACCTTTTACGAAAGCCTTAGTCTTTTTATTTCTCGTTAAAACTCTGCCTTTGAGTACCTTATGTTGTAGTAAGTCGCTGTGTAAGTTTGCAATTTGCGTGTGTTTTAATGAGTTCTAATTACTTGCTCGCTGAAGCACAAACAAATAATCCTGTGTGTTAGGGTATGAAAGTTTTAAAATTATATGACACGGCGAAAAATTATGTTAATAGCAATTGTAATGGGTATTAGACACGTAGGAAAGAATATATTGGTATTCATTTATTAATAACGTATTACATTTGCATGTTAGTTTACTTTCGCATTATTTAATATCAGTTTTAAACTAGTCAATAATATTCCAACTTGAAAATGTCAAATTAATATTTCTCTTTTTGTCTCTATATATCTTTCCCCATTCTAAGCACTATCTGTGTGCCTAATTAGACAACAAACAAATAGACATTTAAATACCTACATATGTAACATTGAAAAGGACAGTGTTGGCCTATAATTGTTTAGCATGCTCTCGAATGAACTTCTTTCGTCGGTGACGGTGACCCGATCTTAATAATGCCAGTACTAACGTGGCCCGATTTCCGGTACCACGAGATGCTTTGTTTTCCGTTTCATTGTTCCATCACTACTGTATTATATAACTATACACTGATATCATAAAGAGAGTATTATTGAAGTGAATGATAATAAACTATATATACATGTGTACTCTCACTGAATATGTATTTAAATACATAATTAAGTATCTGTTTTATATTTAAAATATTCACTGAACGAGTTTCCTCTTTTGTTATATATTTATGTTACTGTGTTATTCATTTTTATTGACATATATTTTCTTGTGGCAAGATTAATATAACAACGTAACAATACTGATATTGGGCAATGTTTTCCCAAGGCGTCACCATCGTCCTTGATTCGCAAATCCCATTTCCCATTATATTATTACTCGTGTTCAATTATATTAGACGGCGAAGCTGTTATTAAAGAATGTTTACGGTTATACGTTTGGGCTGTCAAGGGTAAAGTTGCTGAATCCCAAAAGTTTGCAAAAAGGGCACCCATTTTACAGATAACATTGTAACCGTTCTTTATTTGCTATGCAAATATAAGATGAAATCAGGGTCATGTACATTATGTCCTAAACATACGGGGCTGTTTTCTGGGATCTATTTATTTGTCATGAACGTTCAATTATTTTCCTCCTACCTTTTATTGTTTGATGTTTTTGGTATGAAATGTCTTGAACTGAAAAGAGGTTTTACGTGGTTCTTAATTGCATTAAACAATCTGGGCTACTTCGCAATTTAAAAAAAAATGTGTATTAGATACTTCCAGTATCTCTGCGGTACGATACGATTTCTTAAGCGATACAGTTATTTAAACTAGTTTATAAAAGATACCATTGATATAAAAAACATTTTAAAATGGGTTCTAATATTTATAGTATAATTAATAGGAATATGTGTTAGTCATGTGGTATTTTGTTATTGTAAACTCACACCTTTTCCTTATGTGTACCAGTTATAACTACACTTGCAGCTCCAGTTGCCTAAAAAAGTTTAAATTCGACGAGGGATGTTAATTATAATATCAGTAGTATGTGATTTCATACCGTCATATAAATGTTATGGAAATAGTGACCGAACGACAAGGGTACAATATGGTTGTAACTACTGGATGACCCTGATGCGTGTTTGTCAAACCAGGCTGATGGTCCGTGAATGGTCCGCGCCGGATCCGCGCTCCGTTGCGTGCATTGTCTTCCGCGTTGCACTGCCGCACGCCGCGCTGCCGCACCGCGTGCGTCGCACGTAATAGCACATGTGGACCATTTCCGTGCATTATGTATGATTTATGAGTGTTGTCAACATATTTCAATAAACAATATAAAGATTAAAGTGAACGGAACTAAGATCAACTCATAACATTGACTTTTTAAGGTATATTTCCGTTAAGATAGATAAGGTAGGTAAATGCTTTATTCGCTCTACAAGATAAAAATACAGCAAGCTTGTATATGTATATTATGCATGTATTTTTATATTGTAAAGCGAATAACCATGGTTAATGAATGATAAAAATACAGAATGCGTATAATAAATGACAAAACAGATGCGTGTGTAATATTTCGCACGGTTAAGAATAAACTATTTTTTTAAACGTACTTTCATCTATCTATGTTTAGGCACTGGAAGTCACGAATTCCAAAGGTATACCTAGTGTATAATATAAAAGTTAATTAACATAATAAATCTATAAATGACGGCTGACTCTGAGTTAAAACAGGAAACACAGTAACGTTTAGGTTATTACGATATCCATGTGGTAAAGACACACAATTAGCCAAAAAGGCTTTTCGCTGAATAAAAAATAGTCTGATTGTAGTGAGTTATTTAGAGGCTATTGTGCCATGTTATGTATCAGAACTAGTTTTATGGTTATTAAACAACTGATATACAAACTTAAATATTTTTTTTCCAAATACATACATAATAGACAAGTAATTAGATAGAGAGTATTCAAATCGATACAAATAATCATATTCATTAGTTTAACTTATTCTCCAATAGAAAACTTGATAATTTCTTATCAAGTTTTCAGAATAAGTTTGTAGCTTGTAATGTCATTTTCGCGTGTAGTAATTATCTCTATTGAATGTGACATCAATTTTAAGAATGACATCTCAACAAGATTCATGGCCGAAGTTTTCTAATAAATTACAATTGGTCCCTTCCCATTTCAACTCTGAACGGGAGAATGTCAGGAATTATTACGTTGTACCTTATTTTTTTATTACTAATGGCCTCAAGCAAGGAGGTAAGATGACATGCTCAAGTACAAGATCTAGTCTGGAAAATGTTTATCATTTTGTTATATTTTAAAAGTTTTTCCTAATTTCGCTTCAACTTTTCATTACTTTAGTCAGTGCCGCACGCCAGTCTCTTTGTAATAATATTTAACGAGCCTATTAGTGACTAACTCATTAAAGTGTAAGTTCCAAAATTATTACGTATCATCTGTTTGTAAGACATCATGTGTATACGAGTATAACTTTACTGTTTAAGCACAGATTAATATGTATATTATATGACATTTTGTATTTCAAAGAACGTAAAATATTAATGCTTTATTTTGTTTAATTTCGTGCATTTGTCTTCGAATGAACGTTCTCTATTACGTTCAGATACATAAAAATCTGTATAATGTACATGTATGTTAGATTAACAGTTAAATCCATCATGATGTATCTCGGATTATTAGTCATTATTTAAATTAGCACAGAATTCTGTGTTCTTTAATTCGAGTTAGTACTCGAATTAAAGAACACACAACACAACAAAACAACTGATAGCGACGCTCACAGTATTTTTTATGAAATGATGGTAATTTAATATACTTTTCTTTTCAGGGAACAAAACTATGGATCATAATGGAATACCTCGGCGGGGGTTCGGCCCTCGACCTAATGAAAGCGGGTAGCTTCGAGGAGATGCACATAGCAGTCATTCTGCGGGAGGTGCTCAGGGGGCTAGACTATCTTCACTCTGAGAGGAAACTCCATAGGGATATAAAGGCAGCAAACGTGCTACTCAGTGAGATGGGCGATGTAAAATTAGCAGACTTTGGTGAGTGTATTCACAACTACTAGTTGTTTGTGAAATAAGGATTAAACCTGATTATTCGAAACATTCAGGGAGAGAATAGATTTCTTAGTCAAAGAAGTTTTAACATCAGATGAAAAGTTATAATTTTATTCATATTTTAATCCTTTTTTTATTATGTAGTATGAGCGTTGAAGGTGCGAATAATTAAGCTATATGTATATCTAGATTGCTCTACCTCTTAGGTTTGATTACAATATCTTTCATGCTTCTCTGTAATAATATTATTCTTATAATTAACTACTTTTTTGATAGAGCTTCAAAGCTCTAGGACTCATTTTATGGGTCTTCATCTTACTAAACTGATAAAATATATAGCTAAAATTTATCTGTTTGTAATAAAAATAAGTATAATATGCCAGCATTCTTGTTGAGAAACTCTTTTGATAATATATTCAAAGTTTATTTTTTGTATTCTTTAATCAAAAACATATAAAACAAATTCTATTCAAAACTTCACTGTCTACCATCTTACCATCAAAACATTTATACCGTTATAAATAGTTTTAATTGATATTAGAATAATTCATACAGAAGAATTGTTGTAGAAATATGTAATATATTTCTACATCTACTACAATTCTTCTGTATGAATTGGACACTATACTATTGTGGTGTGTTTTTCCGCTGCAGCTGCATGACAACAGAAAATAAAATACTTATTTTATCTAATGTAAATATAGACATACCAAGAAATGCTAGTAATAGAATTGCCGTTAGGTATATGTACACAACGAAAATTCATTTGATTTTTTATCATATTAGTCTCAGTAAATATGATCTAAAAAAAGTAGTCAGCGTAATGGTGGTTGGATTAGAAATCATTACGAGGTTTAAAACTAAATATAAAACTTATTTACAAAATATTAATATACCTAGGTAATTTCTAATAGATATTGCTTAATAAATGTTTCCGATGTATATTATAGAAACTTTTCTATTGCATCCATAGCATCGTTTTTCTTTTTGTTTGTTTTACTCCTTTCGTAGTTCTAATATAATATGGAGTTGATAAAACACAGGCCAAACACTCGAATTCCTGCATCGAAAATAATTCATAAAATGTTGATTATCTTGGTTCTAGAACTTTCGCTTGTATGATTTTTGTACACTTTCTTTTATAGTAAATGATAAATTGAGTATCTATTCAAATGTATATCTATGGATAGGAAGTAATAAATATGTTATGCGATTGCCATGCATTATTGATTCAAGATCGACTAGTAACGTTACCGGGCCGCTCCTACGACTATAAAACTAAGCGATGCGTGGAATTCGAGCACGAAATATTTTACAGCAGCAATCTAATCGATAATTTCTGATATAGCTCGCCGATGCTCAGGAATTTGTAATACTTTTAATTATTGTTGCTTGCGTTATTGTTGTAAATTTAACAAGATACCCATAGTTGTTATCGAGAGAAATGCATTGATAGCATCGAATATATTTAGCTTTATATGTTAAACGGATATGGAAGCGCTACTGTTGTCAAAGAAATTTCTTTATAGAGTAACATTTCTCTAAATATTAACACAGGAGAATTACTTAGGCTTATTATTCAAATCAAATATGGAGATCCACCTTATAATTAAATTATGTATACTATATGTATTTTCACGGAATCAGTCTTTAGAAAGGACACACCTTAAGTCTAAGTGGGGCATCTCATTTATGGGAGAGATTTTTGGTAAATTTGGATCTTGCCTTAGGTATCTGGTTACTCATTTTCTAGTTTTGCTGTATGTTGTGAATTAGAAGTAGGTAGGTACAGTTGACGTGATATTTTCCAGACGTATCCGCCATTTTGATTTTACGTAATTAATAGACGCTCAGTACAGTGTTCTGTGAGATAAAAACATACTGCCTAGACCAGACGGTACTCCAAAGTAAAATGAAATGTCAAGCTAATGTCATGTTCGTTTCTCAGACTAGATTCCTAGATAGAGTAGATTGTAGTGTATTTTTTATTGTTCCTTTAGTTATCTGTTAGATTAGGTTACTAGATCTATTTTCGCGTAGAACTGGGAACTCATTTATGCAAAACAACGAAAGCTACCACCAGTTCGCGGAGGTCATTAATTTATTCGTTGTCGGATCAAAATGTCAAATGTATTTCCTCCGTCCTTAATGGATAGAACGCTGATTTTAACAAATAATTATAGGTATGCATAAAATTACGATGTCATTTTTTATATAAAAAAACTTTTACTGTTTTACTCAGTACTTCTGTTTATAAAGTTTCATTTCCACTGAATTTTATTAATGCTTACTATAAAGTTGTATTCTCTGCGAGTCATTATTTTCTATTCTCCATTATCATTAAGTACCTTTAGATGAAACGGCGTTTACTTAACATTCTTAATTAATAGTAATATATAATGAAAGACGCTAAGGCAGTACAATGTTGAGATTTCTCACAATAAGCTAACCGCAGCCGTTGGCGACAGTTTGGCTTTAGGCCAATATTTGAACATTTACAAAGCGGTTCGGATGCCGCCAAAGACAACAGTATGCCCTTTTGTTTCTGAATTTATACTACAGTTGAATGCTAATATTTGTAGCGCCAAATACAGTAAAATCTTCGCTACAATGGTGTTTTCCGGTACTGTGTATGTATATTATCTATTCCCTTTCAAACACCGACTTAAAAGACGGGTATTATAAGATAATCTATCGGTCTTTTTCTGGTACTGTATATAGCTTCCCAACGGATTGGCCGATTTTGTGTTATTTTTTGTTTGAAAGCTGAGTTATTCAATATTGTTTTTTATATATAATTTTTGAGTACACTGGCAGGCATCATTTGAGTATTCAAAGGGATTTTACCAACTTTTTTATCCGAGTTTTAAATTTTATTTATTTTACATGTATTCTACCCTAATTAGAGACATGTAAAAATATTTTAAAATAGTTTATATATAAAAATAGTTTGTAATGTCAACTGACCTCCATCGTAGTCTTAAGTTATTTATTTTAAAATTTAAATTTCCCTTCAACAACTTACTCAAAACGAATAGAACTATTTTAAGTGGCTATATGAATTGTGTACAAGAATTGTAAAGTAATATGTCTATATCTCCATTGGCATCCAGTTTTCTTTATAATATTCGAACTGCAAACACGCTGCCCGAATGACTCGATGAAAAGAGGAAACCGTTGAGTACACAAACGCACTCTTTCGAGTTTGTCTGATATTCATATCGTTGTTCAAGTCTCTATAGACTCGCGATAGTTGAATCTTTTCATCCGATATTCGATAGTTCGTTATCCATTTCTAAATATACTATCATTTTCCTTAAAAAATGTTAATGCCTTGGATTTTATATCTTAAAAACAATGCATCTTTACGAAAACTAATCTATAGTATATTTACTAAAACTAAATATATTTTTATAAATTTTCCTTAGTTTCACGTTTGTCATTGTGTATGTAACAAAATATATATAGTTTCGTTGAAAATAAGATGGTAGGTGATTGGTAGGTGATAACTTGTAATTTTAGTATATATCTTTTTATAACAATTCTGTTTTACAAATAGTATTCAGTTTTGCTTCAGCGATGAATTCACCGATCGATGATCCGCCGCAATCTGATGTCATTCTCCGGCGTATGTACTTTTATTGATACAAGGCTATTTCAACGTTCTTATTGTCTTAACAATAAGGTCTTGATTTGAATAAATTTCCGCCAATTGAAGCTGTCGTATGTCCGAAAATAGCATATTATTATTGATTCTTGTTTGAGTTAGGCCACTTATAGTAATTATGAATTCATTCACGGTTTATTCCGATAAACAGATTCCAATTACGAATTTTTACTATCTACTCTTTAGCATTATTACTCCTAAGTTATCAAAATATTTATTAATTTCAAAATAAACGAACAAATTATTCCATATTTATTTATTAATTACATAACTGAAAAAATACGATGTAAATAAAAAAAAATCTTATTATCGGTTATCTGCTTCTATTTACAAAACATTGACCTATACTTATATATCGACAGTCTCGGTTGTCTAATCTCTGTCTGTCTGGTCATCGCCTTTTACGACGTCGCAGGTTCGATTCCTCGCACGGTACAGACATTTACAGTACAGTATTCACAAATATGATTTTTTGAATCGGTCTGGGTGTTTTCTGTTTATATTATATATGTATTTACAAAAATGTATTTATATCAGTTGTCTAGTGCCCATATACAAGCTCTGCTTGACTTGGGACTAGATGTCGCTGTATGAGTTGTCCTGCGTACAAAAATAGTATCACCTGTCAGACTATTGTTTCCAGAACTCTGCAAAAAATAGGTTTCTTTTATAACATCAGAATCTGCTAAATAGGATTTGAAAATGCCAACATAAATGGATATTTTCCGATTTCCAACCATAATCTTACCATTCTCTAATATTACTGTGTAATGCGATTTACATACGTGCAAAATTTCCAGTCAATGGGACACTGGGAGTGGATCTTATTTACCTTATATATTATAGACCTCAGAATAGGTGAGGTTGTAAAATGTTCAGTAAACTAACAATTGTATAAACAAGAAGTATGGGAAATTGTCGTTATTATTTATAAAATAATACAATATAAAATACAAGTGTTACACAACTTATGCGCACATTTTTTTTTTATTACCACTTAGGTGGCAAACAAGCATACGGCCCATCTGATGGTAAACGGTTACCGTAGCCTATGGACGCCTGAAACACCAGGGGTGTCACATACGCGTTGCCGACCCTTAAGAAACCTTAATATACCCTTCTTGAAAACCCCCATGCTGTAGTCTCTCGAGAAAACCTTGGCAGGTAGTTCATTCCACAATCTAAGTGTACGCGGGAGGAAGCTCCTCTGAAACCGCACTGTCCGAGACCACTTAGGTTCCAGGGTGTGGGGATGAATTCCCTGTCGATGGCGAGCGGTGCGATGGTAAAAGGTAGCCGTAGGCATCATGTCAAACAATTCATCAGAACACAGTCCGTTGTATATTCGGTAGAACACACAAAGCGATGCGAAGTCTCGCCTCAAGTTAAGTGGTTCGATACCGTTAGAGAGATTGGGATCATCGACAATTCTCATAGCACGTCTCTGAACCGAGTCAAAAGGACCGAGCTGGTATCCAGGTGCTCCTGCCCAAAGATGAGAGCAGTACTCCATGTGCGGCCGAACTTGCGACTTATACAATAGAAGTCTCTGGTTCGCAGTGAAGTACCGCCTCGCTCTATTCAGCACACCGAGCTTCTTGGACGCCAGCTTGACCTTTTCTTCGAGATGACTACGGAACTCAACTGTGCTAGAGATGTCGACACCGAGAAGTATGAAAGCGCGAAGAGGCGCGTGAGTACGGGACACAACTCAGGAGCACACTTCTTTAGCACCAAAGCCGGTATGCCGTCTGGCCCGTTCGACTTGTTGACGTCGAGAGACAGCAACTCTCGCCGGATACTCCGTTGTGTTACTGATATTTCCGGCATAGAGTTACCACACCATGGGATGGTAGTAGGTATGGTGTTCCCAGCGTCTAAAGTCGAATTTGAGGCAAAAAGAGCGCACAACAAATCGGCCTTCTCTTTTGCACTATGTGCCAAGTTATCATCTGGCTTCCGTAGTGGTGGTAAGGACGACTGACTAAAATTACCTTCGGCAGCCTTAGCAAGGGACCAAAAGGCTCGACTTCCAGAAGGATGACGGGCTAGTCGCTCCCCAATTTTGCTGATGAAGTCGAATTTGGCTCTAGCAATTACTCTGTTACTAAACCTGGATGCAGCATTTATATTCCGCCTCGCATCAGATACGCCAACATCCCTGTTGGAACGAGCCGTGGTCCAAGCCTGATAAGCAGTTTCTTTAGCCTGTCTGGCTTCTCTGCATGACCTATTAAACCACGGTCGCTTTTTTGGCCCCTGAAGCAACAAGCAGATTTGGAATGAAACATTCCATACCCGCAAGTATGACTTCAGTAACGGCGGCTGTACAGGTATCGACGTCTTCTGATAGCTTCCAGTACGAGAAGCAATCTGTCCCAATCTGCTGACTTATAATGCCACATGCGACGTCGACCAGGTGTTCGGTGTGTGGCAGGTTGTGTGGTACTTGGGATCGATGATCTTCCACGGTGACTGAATATTCGTCCGACCTGTAGTCAGAGAAGATCCAGTAAGGAGCTCGTATGGGTCTAGATATCTGGTATTCTCGTTGGAGAATGAACCAGTTGTGAGAATCCATAGGCCAGGACAAACTCGTGAGCAGTTCTCCCCGCATGGTCAGTGATTCGAGAACGGAGCCACTCGGTGTGATGGGCATTAAAGTCTCCAAGTATCACTAAATTCGCGGAGGGATATTGCTCGAGAACTTTATCAGACGTGATTTGAAGGTGCTCAAACAGACGAGTCGTGTCCTCGTCACCGCTATGAGATGTATAGGCACGCGTAGATACCGGTGTACTCACCCTGATCTACGCGTACCCATAGTACTGACAGGTCTTTTTTTTCTAGGCCAAGAAGGCGGCGACAGCAAATATCCTCCCGGACATACAAACATACCCCAGCTCGACGCACAAATTTGTGCTCAAGTGTATACCCGGGATACGTAAGGTACGACGTATCAGCCGGACAGGATATCTGTGTCTCCGTAAGGAACAGAAGGGTCGGCTTGGCGGTCTCGAGATGATGTTGGACCGCATTGATGTGTCCGTGTAGTCCCCTGATGTTACAGAAATCCATATTAATAGTGGATAGGGGTGCCGCTGATTTACTGCGATTCCTTTTCTTTTTTCTGGCCATTTGGGTATTGTTTTTTTAAGGTTGAAGGGGAATGATCGCGCTGGTATTAGAAAGGACAAAGTATGTGGCAATGCACCCCAGTATTGCACAGGTTTGGCAATTTGGTGGCACAGCGGCCGGAAGGGCCCCCGGTCCCCCCACTGGTGTAGCAGCCGGGTCCACTCCGGTCTCCTTCTCCGGCACGACTACTACACCAGGGATTATGCGCAGGTTCAGCCTCCCAGGGCGGAGATTAAGTAATCCCTGGGTTCGGGAACCCAACAACCTGCGGGCGGCCAGCGGTTAGCCGTTTCACCGGGTCTCCCTGAACGCTGCGCCACCACGTCGCGCCTATGCAATCCCGCGGCACTGTTGAACACACAGGTCCTCCAATACCAGCACAACCAATCCCCACGGGGCTCTGGTCACCTTTCACACCACAGGAACACAGTGCTGTCGCAAGTACAGCACTATTTGGCTGTGGTTTTCTGCTTGGTGGAGGTACTACGCCAGTTCGGGCCGCCCCAAGTCGAGCAAGATGTATCAAAATACATCAATCTGTGCCCTCCCTTCCTAGAATTTTCATTGAGAAATAATAATAATCACTATACATAATTAAATAACATATTGATTGTGACATGGCATATATAAAATATTATCTTTTATATACTAGTTTTTATTCGCGACATCGTCTGTGACTAAGGATAAGTTTATTGCATAGCATAAAGCATTTTACGTTCATCATCTAATTACCTCCTTTAATACTAGGTACTTGTAATTAAATCAAGTCACATTGTATAACTAACGTTTCAGATGTCTAGATATAGTAAAGAAATTTTCCATTGTATTTCTGATATTAGTAAGAGTACTAATCTCATTATCATATTCTTTCACAGGAGTTGCGGGTCAATTAACGAACACGACAAGTAAACGGAATACATTTGTCGGCACGCCATTCTGGATGGCACCTGAAGTGATAAAACAGTCCTGCTACGATAGCAAAGCGGATATATGGTCACTGGGCATCACAGCAATAGAGCTGGCTAAAGGGGAACCACCAAATTCGGAATTACATCCCATGAGGGTGCTCTTTCTAATACCTAAGAATAACCCCCCGCAACTCACAGGGAGCTACTCGAAGCCGTTCAAAGAGTTCGTCGAAGCGTGTCTGAATAAAGATCCAGAAAATGTAAGTGCTCCATTTTATGTACGTTTGCTAATCCTCTTACTATTTCCCCCTCGCTATCCTAGACAAATATCATACCGTCTCGTATTTATTTACAGCGGTGTACGATACCTACTATTGTAGATGGCTCGGACGTGGTGAAGGTTTTGTAATGTTACTATTCATACAATGAATTTAAAGAATATTCAATAATATGACATTGCTGATTAGTTATGCTGTTAGGTGTAAGTGAGGTAAAGTGGATGTCATTCGATGTATGTAATAATTTAGACTGAATGGCAATCCATTTAGAAATACTATGAGTGTTTACTACTACTGCTACTAGATACATATCACAAAAACTTAAATAGCGTTTGCCCTTTCTCGTTACTCGTACTGTACATGTAGACAAATAAATATATATAAAATATAAATACATATTCATATATTTATATATTATTTCCAGAGACCAACGGCAAAAGAATTACTGAAGTTCCAGTTCATCAGGAAAGCGAAGAAGAATTCATATCTAATGGATCTTATAGATAGGTATAAGAAGTGGAAGGCGCAGAGGAGCGAGGAGAGTGAAACGGAGTCAGAAAATTCTGATTCGTAAGTATATTAAATATTCAAAGATTAACGGAAAGGGTATAATATAAGCTGAAACTGAGGACGTGGGTCGAAGTGTCAAAACAATTATTGAACCTTTCTATCTAACCCACGTTTCAACATAAATCATATTGTACGTACTTTTATATTTTTTTAATTTTGCGTGAATGGAAAAATATTTTTCCGTTCCATAACTGTTTCGACTGGATTTCAAAATAACTAAAAAAAGGAGGAGTCACTTTAGGTTTACATTTAGTAATGTGTGAGTGATGTTTTCTATATATTTGTATATTACTTGCGGCTCATCTCGGCTTCGCACGGGTGGACATTTTTTTTTACTCTGGGACAATATAGCATTCTAATGATAAAAGAATTATTTAAATCGGCACAGTACATTTTTGTATTTATACGTACAAAAATATTTTTTACTCTCATTATATTGTAATATTATTGTTGAATATTATTTTTCAATCTGTCTGTCCTATCAACAATGCAATGCAGTAAGTATTGCATTGTTTAATGCAATGCAAATTGTTTTATGTATGACCTGATATCTTCTTCAGGATTTAAACGTGCTCTCTACACCATAGGGTGCTAAAATAGATTAGAATAGACTATTATAAATAGAATTATAGAGATATTTATAAATAGACCTATTTCTATATATCTGAAACATGAAATAGTGCAGTCTAGTTTAGACTGTACTATTTTCATGTTTCAGATATCTATGAGCTTATATATTACTATCCTATACTGATTCACTAACATTTACTACGTTTCTAAATAGTTGCTTGTTTCAATTTCCAGCGAAGAGTGCGGTCGTGGTGACGGCGAGTCGGATGAGAGCGGATGGATCATGACTGTTCGTGGGGGAGCAACCGCCAGAGCGCTGCAGAGTTCGCAGCCTCTACCACCGCTGCAGTTACCCGACGACAACAAGCGACGTGCACCGGCCGAAGACGCTGGTAATTATACGCGTATATATGTATATTTTGATTCACTTCTAGCCCTCTATTCTAACAGATAGATAGATAAAACTTTAAGTTAGGTGGAGCGATGACATACGTAGGGTTTACGTGTAATAACTAGAAGAGAAGGGCTGAAACAGTGCACAGTGGCTTGCTTTGAGAGAAGGCTATGTCCAGCAGTGGGTTGATGATGATGCAAAGTAAATACATACAACTAGATTAGTCAGTTAACAATATTCAATTTAGGTATAAACAACTTATGAGGAACAAAGTGAGTGTGCATTGCCCATGTGCAAAAAAGGCAGCACTTCACTGTATTGTTTGCTGATGCAGTAAACTACTAGCTGTGGGATATTGTCCAAGGACATACGCGAGATCACATGCAATAAAATCGACGTATCTAAACAGCTCTACTACACTCTCACTAATGACAATGAAAATTAAAACCAACAACAAAATGATATTATAGATATAACTTAAAATAGGATTCTGCAATTATCTTCCAGTAGTTTTTATGGCATGGCAAAGAAGCCGATGGCACCCACCTAATGTAAGTGGTTGTCGTCAACTATATACATAAAGAGGGGCTGAGAGAATACGTTATAACGATTGTGAGACCCGCATTGCTACCGTTATGGACTAAGTACAGACTACGGAGGCATAGTCTGCAAAGTCACTGCTATATCTTACTCACTCATCGTTCACACAGGAACACAACTGACAGAGTAACTAAGAGCAATTCAATTTTTCTACAGCATGCACAACATAGAAATAAACACACATTATATATAAATACACAGATATTCGGAATGTCACGATGTAGTGAATGTTACGCTAATACCAATATTACACGCATTATTACCAATGTCAACAGTCAATGTTAAGGACATGGAATTTTTCGATATAGTTGATTTTGGGAGTTCCCGCGCTTATGGCGTTACGTAACCAGGCCCATTAGTTTTTACTTTGTTAACAAGCATTATTCATTAAAAATAAACTAAACAAATTTTTTATTCAAAACAACGGAGCACTTGGACCAGCTACTTTTTATTTATAATTTAAAATAAATTATAAAATACAACGAAAAAGTGTTTTAGATTTTTTGGTTACATTATGTTCACATTTATTGAGGAGTTTGCTTCCAAGACAACATACACAAATGAAATATGTCTCATACATGTATTAGATTTCATTAGTAACATACTTACTATAGTTATGTATGTATAAGCTGTGTTTTCGTTGACGCCTGATATGGCAGTGAAATTACAAGGCAATAAATACATGACGCCGTAGCTCATCTGGAATGGTTATGCTTGTGGGTATCACATTCGTCACATGACGATATGATACGATAATGACGATAACGAATAACGATATGTTCTTTATTATGTTTTGTTACTACTTTGTTGATGTTATTTATATTCATAAATATAGTAGGTTACCACTATCATTCAAATGGGCCCCTTGTTTGTCATTCCAGTAAAATAGATAAAAAGTTAGGTACAAGCCAGATTCTGATGAAGAATGTGATTCATAAGATTATACGCTTATTTCTTATTACATTTATTTGAGGTCGGCGTAATGTTTTTCTCCTCTATTCTTCCCTGTTCGCAGTCATCTCGTTATTTACTCCCTTTCTTACCATATCATCTTTCACACAGTCCACACATCTCTTTTTCGGCTTTCATCGACCCTTATAACCATCCACATTCACTTGTAAATAAATTCATAGATCATAAATTATTATATTCTGTTAAACTCTTTTCAGCCAGAATATTAGTGTTAGTGGAAACACAGTGTAATTCTAATTGTATTGTGAATGTGCTATCTGCAGTGATTCCGTCGCCGACGTCGCCCGCAGCGCCCAAGCAGAACGGTTCGGTGCAGGCGCAAGTCCACGCGTTACAAACGCAGCAGTCGCGCGACCCGCCCACGCCGCCAGCGGACAAGCCGCCAGAGAAGACGGCACCGCTCAACAACAACGACAAGCACGCAGTCAGTATACTATATAAATGTTACGGTCGGTGGTCCATCTTTTTTCGGTCCGCCTGACGGATACCACTTTAGTCTGACAACTGCAACCTCGGCTCAAACCGTCGTAATTTCTATCCCCGTTTGAAATGTACGGGGGATTGATCGGATGGGTCGGTGGTCTAGCGCTTTAGCACACATTTTTACTCTCGTTTTAATTGAAACACAAATCAATCACAAAATATCGACTGTCTCAGTGGTCTAACAGTTTAGCACACCGTCTTACTTCCAATAGTCGATGATTCGATATAAACATTTGTATTCATGAGTATGATTGTTTCTATCGGTCTGGATGTGTTTTATGTATATAATGTATGTATAACAAATGTGTCTAAGAATTCATATTAGTGGTATAGTACGCATAAAAACAGATCTGGTTAGATTTGGTCTAAATAGCATAATATACACTGTATGACTTTATATCAATAGATAACAGACATCGCTTTTAAATAAATGAACACTAATTTGTTTATGTATCTTCTTACTGTGCAGTAATATTCATGTTTATATATTTATAGGGGCGACAATCTGTACAAGTGCCGGTAGAACCCAGAAATGTAAAGGAGCGAGAAAGAGACCGGGTAGAGAGAGACCGAGATGAAAGAAAGGATAGACACGAACACCAATCCTCGAACAGGGACAGTGTAGTTTATAATAAAGCCGTAAGTTTATGTTCTCTTCGTATTGTAAAATTGTGAAATAATTGACAACATAAAAGACTTAGAAACCAATAAAAATAATATTTTTCATTACCATTATGCAGTACTTATTAGAATTAGTTAATTTAACTGTAATTGGGAATTATCTTTTTCTTTATTAAAGGAAAGTGGTCACAAAAATCTAGGGTCAAACCAAATTTATCCTACGTTTATTTCCGGTGTGGCGATACATATCAGTACATATTAAAAGATATCCACGCAGTACAGTCTAAGCAATACTTAATAAAAAAACATACAATTATTTCGTATATATTTGTTTGGGTTTTTTATTTTAGGTTTACCTATATCGATAGCCAGGTCTAAATGTATTGAATTGTACCGTAAAATTATGAATAAATGATTATTATTATTTTATTAACTTACAGGCATCGCCTTTGGACCATAGAGGAGCGAACAGCGAAGAGAATAAAGTTCGAAGGCACCCGTACTTGCAGCAACTCATCTACCCACTACTCAACGAGGTAATTGTAATACCAATGGAATATAGGGTAATTCATCTAGACGTGCCTTTGTTTGCATATGTATTTATGTATACTATGTTTAGTTTGGGACTGGTTGGTCTTGTTAAATGTATACAAAGTTAATTATTTGTATACATTTAACAAGACCAATTAGTGGTGCCCGTTTTCTTACTCTTCTACATTTATAGATCTATTGACGGTTAAACGTCAAGAATAAGTATAGCTTTAGACAATAACATCATTCTTCATCATCAATCGTGAAAAGGTAATAAACTGTCACATTTACAGATAGATATTATTATAATATAAATAGTGGTCGCCCAATTGTCGAAATTCATAATTAATTTAAATAATAAGTTTGAACATTATGAATGTTCTATTATCAGACTATAAATTTATATGCGCGTGTGTGTCAAATACATGGTAGTATGGTTAAGGCTTTTTTTTTTAATGATATAATACATTTTTTAACTTAATTTAAAAATATATTAGTAGTCCGCACATTTTTCGTAAAGAGTACCCTATACGAAAATTGACCGGTTTTTCTTCAGATATTATTGTAATGATAACAGTATGGATTAACAAGTGTATTTGATGTTGCAGCTGTCCCGTAAACACGGCGCGGGCAGTGCGGCGGCAATCGAGGAGTTACGTCGTGCGTTTGAGGTCGCGGAACGAAGTGCGCCGCATCTTACACGCGCATTCGTACAGCAGGTACACTATTCCACGCTTTTTTATGTAATTAAAATACATGCTGATTGCCTACCTGAAGGTACGTGGTAACCGTCGCTTGATATATGTGTACATAACAGTACTACCGACATTGCGTGATTATGTGACGGTGAACTAAAATATAACATCTTAGTTACAAACTATGTATATTATGTTAATATTATGTCGATATGCAGATGTGAGTGATTTGTAAAAATAATCAATATATATTCAAATAATTGAATGCATTACAGGTAGTGCAGAGGGTGGCTACGCAGACCCACCAACCTTCGACTCCCTCACACAACGCGTCTTCACAACAGTGGATGAGTTAGGTACGTGTCACTAAGGTTTGTTTATGTCTGATCACCATGATTACCATGATGGAGAAAATTAATTGAAAATCCATTTATGAGTTTATGAAACGATTGAGTAATAAATATTCTATTGTTTAAATCTATAGAAATTGGATGGAATGATTTTTATACGATATTTAAAAGAATTTTAAGGAATACTCATTCTTGCTTAGTATCCCTTGCGATATATCTGCTGGTGTTAATTAGACAGAAATAAAAATATATACATAATGATATATATACATATATATCTAATTATACTATCGGGTGAAATGAACTATTATTTGCAATCTACAGGGACCTATAATCTCCGGGCGGCGCCTCCGTTACACGCTGCCGCTTGTTCACTCACCGCTACCTTATCTCTCGCTGCACCACACACAACCTGACCACCGGACACTGTTTTTACTTCATAACTGTTTATGTATTATAGTTAACGTTGTTGCATTCGACAGTACGATCTCGATACATTGTGTGAACTGTCGTCCGTCCACGGCGGTACAGTCTTACCACAGCGCATTCATTTAATACAGAGTGAAAGCTTTCAGCCAGTGCTCATTTTGAAACGTGGTTCACAACATTTGTGTATTTTTCATGTTATTGTTTCACTAATACACACTTGTATTATACCACAGTATTAGCGAAATAAAAAACAGATATTGAACCAATGCTCAAGTTTACATTCTGTATAATGTGTGGAGTTATCTGTGGTCTTGCCTAGTAAATGTTGGTGAAAGATAATTGTGATTAAAATCGTCTGGAAAGCATCATCGCAAGGAATCGTTTTAAAGTCACCCTGAGTTTCAACTTGAAATTCATCTGAGCGTTGAATTTTACACATACATTCGTATGTGATTTCCCCGTATCCATTAGTATTTCATCTGTATCTTTGTTGATATTAGCTGGTATTTCTTATATTAGTTTATTATTTTATAAGACACTTCAATATTTGTGACTAAATGCCAGGATTTTAAACACATTTAATCATATGAGACCTAAGTGCAATAGATAAGGATAATAAGACGTTATTGCAATTGTGATACTATTCATTTATCTAAACAAGATTCGGACAGGCTTTGCAATACAAAAAATTATATATTAGATATTGTTTGAAGGTGAGATTTTTTTTTCTATGGAGCTCGGGCATGTTACAGTCAGAATGAATCTGTTGAGATAAATATCTATTTGTCTCCACACCCGTGGCTTTATGTATCTCGGTAGCAATCCATTCGCATTTAAAATATGTGTAAATAGATTGCCATATTGAAATGTATAAACTATTTGGCATTTCTATAAAATAATTAGTTTTACATGAAATGACATAAGGTTCATATTTAATTGCATAATTCAATTCAATTCAAAAGTGATGATTATCCAAGTTTGTTATATTATATAAACCCTACGGTTTTATGTCAGCAGGGAGACCCGTATGCATTTTTGAAGTCTATTAAGTTGACTGCAATGTGCGCAAGCTCTTATTTTTCGTATTTTGAATAATAAAATATTTTCAATTATTACTATTCTCGTTTTGTCAGCAGTTAGTCCTCTATAGCTGTGATCACAATTGTAATTTCCACACCAATACTAAGGAACAAGAGGCTAAGGAATCTATTGTTAACGAAAATAATCGCTACTGCGCCCATGAGGATGACTAAGACGCCGGATGTTGTTGTCTCGTTCAGACCCATGTGTGTTGTAGCCACCTTTCCATTCCATTTAAATTGGTTTACCACAAAATGCATCAGCGGTCGTACGGCGACGTACACTCAATTGTCAAACAGTTATTCGTGCATTGTAATGAACATATGCTCATTATTGATTTCCTTTGCATGCTTTTTATTCCTGTTTTAAATAATGTTGAATTATCTTCAATCAATTTCTGTCATAGCCGTCGTGAAATTTATAGATGCTCGTAGCCAGTAGTGTTTTCGGGTATTCGCTATCACGCCTTTGTGAATAGATTGAAGACGCATAAACATGGAAAATGGCCTAACCCAAAAATAGATTGGATTATTTTTTTATAATAGTCACTTAGAAGCCATTGTTGTAAAGTGTGTTTTGGTGTATGCCATTTCCGTGATGGAGCGTAGACGCGTGTAGCCGCAACCGAGTCACAAAGTTGCTATGCCATAGTGTTATAGTTAAAAATATAACGTAATAAATACTTAAAGATGGTTATGTCCTAACATATTTTATATTGTATACGTTATTTATGTAAATATCATTTTTTGTTCCCGCCACGCATCATTTTATTGTCATGCTAATGGTTATTGATGTTTATTCTTTGTAATGAACTGTATTTTGTTCTATCCGTTCTATATAAAGTTTTAGCGAATGTTTATTTATACTGTATTCGTCACCATTTAGTTCGTAGATATACTATAGTGGTCCAGAGACCCGTGTGTTTAGTTTTCACTGTGAGTCGTTATTATTATGTAGTATAATTATTGTCAGCGGCTGTTTGTTGAATGTTTGCGTTTGTTTTGCAATGGTATTGGTACTTTTATTGTAATTTTAAATATTCGTGGAGAGCTACTAAGCTACACTTCGCCAATATTTTGCCATAATTATTTTTTTCTAAAATATTTTTTACTAACATGAGTTTTTTGTATAGTCTGATTTTAGTTGTGATCACTGTTCTAAATTCTAACATATTGTATGTTTAAAAAAGATGTTATGAAGCTTGATGTACATTCTGTTTTAAGTGTCATTCCAGACAAAAGACAGCATTGTCAGCATTTATAGATTTTATTGTTTTGTAACTTGTGTTTTCGATTCAACTTTGTGAGTTTTGAACAACTGTGAACTACATACATACGTTATAAAAATTGTTATAAATTTCTTAGATTAATTATGAAAACTTAGGTTTAATTGTGTATTTGGCTACTTACCGATTTGAATTAATTAGTTACTAATATTTTATTCTGAAAATAATATGGAGAAAATGTTTTTATTTTCAATTTCCGTTGATTTTACGCGATGAGATGTAAGTGGTTGTAAGGCGAATCGAAGGTGTATTTGTGGATTTAAAAGTATTCAGACACCAACGACCATTCGGTGTCGATAGAAATAAAAGAAACATGCTTAACATGCGACAATATTTAGCAATTGGGAGTATATAAGATATATTATTATGAAGACTACAAAACAATTATTATCGCAGTGTAAAAATGTAAACCTTATTATAAATGTATAAATTGTGTAGTATAATATAAAAAAAAACTGTTTATGAAGTGTTCTTATAAGCATATGGAGAGTAGATAAAGTCTTTCCAATTTACCTATCTATGCCCAGTCCGGAGTGGAACCCACGCTGTTTTCAACTAGTTTGTAGTGTCCAGAAACACCTTGCTACTGTCTGTAGGAAGGTACTAAATATTGCCTCTGATGTGTAGAATAAGAAATGGGTTTCACCCCTGACTGGCATGTTTTGCCTTGAATTTTTGTTTCGCCATGTATATCGAGCATGGATAATGTTAATTTCGATGAATCAAAAATTATTTTTCCACTTGATTACTTAATGGTAATTAAAGCGATTAGTGTTAGAGGTGGGCGATAATTGTTGATTATTGATTAAAATTAGGTGTTCATGGCATTGGATCGTAGTTGAGACATGTTCGATATCACCGCACTGGACGTCTGAATAGAGGAAACATGAGAGGTATTGGTTGTCTGAAGTGGCCGCTATTCAGAACGCCAGTGCTCGGTAGCAGAGCGTAGTTGTTATTGTCATCAAGAGTTGGAGAATGTAGAGGACGACGTCGTTTGGTTCATGGGTATTTGTGATCATAAATGAATAGTTAAAATAAATTCTATATTTAATATATTAATATAAAAGTCTGTATTGAAACCGGTAGTTGTTCTCTGTTAGATGTATTTTTCGCGCGTCACTTTTTGGGTATTCAGACGTATTTAATCGAATGGCTCGACTGTTTCGTATAAATATAGACTGCTGATATCGCAAGTTAATTAAAGACGAATATGCAAGTGCACATGGAATATATGCACATGTGTGCGGATTCCTCGAAACGTGACGCGCGAAGTAACACAGTATATTGAAATAAAGTCACCGGCCCTCCACTCGTGCACCAAGTTGAAGCTAACGGCGCGTACCATTAGTGTAATGGTCAATTAATGTTACGCCGTCTGTCATTCTAACACGTTTACGTAGGAAACAAATTTGACTCGGAATAAAGAAGTTATTTAATTTTGGAAGAGTTCGTTTCATTTATTGTCTCGTTGTATGTAAGCTGATAGACCTACCTATTTAGTATTATCATTTCTAAGACCTATCCCCATAATGAATCCTACAGAAAATCTTTACTATAAAAGATTACAGTCGTTTACAATTGTTAAATAACTATAAGTCTGGCAACAAGTAAACTATCTTAATCTATAATTAAAACAAATTTGTTACTTTCGAAGTTTTATTGACTAGCTTAAAAATTATTCAGATATAAATGTACAAAAATATAAATGATTAATGTACGTTGTCGAAGCTCATTAACATTACGATTATAATTATTGCATTACCATTACGATAAAGTATAACGAGATACATTAGATAATTTACTAGGTACATTTGTGATGTGTGTACGCTTGGTTATATGATTTATTAGAAGTATAATATATAATTGTTCCAGACAATAATAATCACATAACAAAATTTATACAATTGTATACACGATATAAACGGGATATTTGCAATGATATTAAAATTAATGAGCACGATTCCAGTGATCAGGTCATTAATAAGTTTTGAAATATCGGGAGCTCATAAATAATATCATAGTATCTGTTTATATAATGTGCACACTTGTAACCAACTGTGGAAAAATTATACACAATTATACATTAAAAATAAAACTTTAAAATTTATGCACAAACATAAAACTGATAATGATATCTGTAATGTTTCTAATTTCTATTCAATAAGAAATGTAAACGAAGCAGGACCACCCAAAAGAGTATTCGCACACACTTGCCCACGCGCAATCTGATGAATATGAATGAACAAAACCAATATAGTACCTGAAAGAGTTTTTGAATTTAAACCCCTGCTATTAGCAGTTCACTAAAGAATTATAAATTAGCATCGAATAATTACGTAGGTTTACACATTTACAATTGCATAAAATAGGCGATGAATCGTTTATCATGTAGTGAATTAAATAATAATTACAAATAACAGATATAATTCAAGTTAGTTACATTATAATACAATTATGCACAACATCTCTACATTACATTCATAAGCTTTGAGATATTAAGTATGTGTCTATGATATATTTACAAAAGCGTAGGCCTTATGTGGTCTAATGAATGTTCCTAATCTATAAGGTTATTAATTAGATAATATAAATATACTAGTGTAACTATTTCTGACCATATAAGTACCTCCTAGAGGGTATACAACCCGAAGCAATTAAATTAGTGGATGGTACACAAAGTTCATTATTAACAAGGATAATGGGATAAATATAAAAATAATGAATCATTAAATATAAAAGGTGATTTTTGTTCAATTTGTTGTTACAATTATAACTGATACATTCAGTTTCATAAACTGGTGCTAGGTTTTCGGGTTGGTTCTTTCTATTTATCGCAGTATATACATATGTATTATAAGACCGTGAAATAAAGGTATCTTAATAAAAAATACAATTACTTCTATACTAATTATATATTTGTGTAATTCGAATTTAGGTACCCAACTTATATTTAAAAGTAGCATTTGTGTATTTCTGACAATTAAGTTGATGTATGTGACAGGCCGATTGTATAAGAATCTACTAACATACTAGTATACGAAACATACTTTTCCTTCATTTTATCAATTCATCGAAAAATATCAATAAATGAACATAAGATATATCCACACTGTTGCAAAAAATAACTCATACTCTGCCCAAAATGTACTTCTTTGAAAAAAAAATATCATAACAGAAGTGTATTTTCCTTAAGCGTTACGTTTTTGGTTATATATATACATATATAGTTGTTTTCCTATAATGTCTCTACCACTGACAAATAAATAACAAGATAGGTACCTAGAATTGTTGTATGAAGTAAGTACATTGTTTGTTGGTCAATAAAACTATATAACTACCTGCTAATCAACACTAGGAATTTTATTCCTTTTTCATGGATTGATTATACAGATAAGCAGTTTTATTAAAATCGCATCGCTTAAATAAAGTTTTTCGCATAATCGTTTTTTATCCTTAATAATTAGGCATTACAATATTTATCAATATGAAACGCTATAAATCATCTTAAAACAGCCTACTTAAGTTAGTAAATAATATAATACATATGAATGTATTTTCTTAAAACACAGTTATAACACAAAAAGTCATATAAGAGTACATTAGTATGACGATACTTTATAATTACTAAACTAAAAGACATACTACTACGACTATAATACATTAGTTATTTAACAATAACCGTTTATATCGATGCTAATTAGGCACGTTTATATCAAAAATTATCAAATAAAAAAAAATGCAGTTGCTACAAGTCTCTCCTCATACTTTCGTAATATGTTTTAAAAAATATCGATTGATGTTATATTTTGCTAATACTTTTTGATTAAATACTGTTAATATACTTTGGTGCACCAATGCCAAAAAGCAATAACAATCGTCTATAAATATACAATAAATATGAGAAAGATTACCAAATATTATGCCTAAAAATATCCACTAAAACATAAACAAATAATTTCTCATAATTTATCTTTCATAGGAACTTGTTTGCTGATATGGCAAATTAATATAAAAATGCTAACATAAATAATAAGACAGAGTCAATATTAGAACCCGAAACATATTGTTAAGTAAAGAAAAAAAGGGGAAGGAAACCGAGTCATTGTTATTCAATTAATTTTATTCTAGCTCTGCCTAAGTAAATTATGTCTTGGAGTTGAAAAAACCCGTTATTCATGTGCCGTTGGTGTCCGGCTCTCAGAATCATCGTGCCCACGGCTGCATATTGTAACACCCACACATCAATATAATTTACTACAACTATCCTACTTTCTAGATGCTTTCACTCTAACTGCAAATCATTGTATCAATCAGTTTTTTTGTATACTTTCCAGTTTTATAATGGTAACTTTGGAAATTGTAATAATGATATCATAAACACGTGCCATCTATTGAAATGAATAGACACGCTGTCTGTTTGTCAACATTCTGCATAGTGATGGAGTGTTTATATGAAATGATGTACTGATCAAATAACTTACGTTGGGCGATGAGTCATTCTTACTTAATCTTCTTAAATATCACAGAGCGTTACATACACACTTACACGATACATAGTATATATTTATGTAGGTATAACGTAATCTAGTTTTGTGACACGAACACCGGACGAATGCAATTTCTTCATCATAATATCGTGGTGTTGGATCACAGGCAGTGTTGGAATGGGCAGCGGTCGACAGGGCCGCATTTGGGGATCGTGTAAATGACATTTCAAAGTATTCGATAGTTCTTTCATATCGACCTTTAAATTTATGATCCCATGCTCGTCCACTCGATGAATCAGCCAGAAAGTAACACCTATGGAAAAGAAAAATAACATTAATATTACGACAGCAGTGAAGCCTGCGTGAGTCAGGTTGTGACGCAGAATGTGAGTCAACTGTGTTAGTTCGCGGTCACAGCTGAAAGTCAACTACTGTTTGCAGATGTCTTTACCGGGATGACGTATTTCGATTGACAACCAATGATATAAGGAACATATTTTGCCTTGGGCTTTTGCAATGAACAGTAAGAAAGCGTATCTTAAAAAAGTGGCTCATACAAAGGTACAATGACCTCCTTATACGAACATACTTATACAATGTTGTAACGTATTGGTTACAAATAATGTTTAATGATAGTTTAGAATAGCTCGATCCATGCAAAACTCATAAATACTCGATATCTTTAGATGCGTTGTATATCAATAAGGTAAAAATTTTAATTTTTTTTAGGAATATTGTGATTAATGAAGTATATACTCTACATAGATGATTCTTGATTGACAAACAGCTTACGTCCCTGGCACTAAACAATTTTTATAACAATACTTCAATTATCCAAATGACGACCTCGGTGGTCTAGCGGTTTATTATACCACTTTAATTCCGATAGTAGGGGGTTCGATTTCTCGCACGGTACAAACATTTGTATTAATGAGTATGATTGTTTGTATCGATCTAGGTGTTTTCTGTGTATATTATGTATGTATTTACAATATATATACATATGAGTATTCGTATCAGTTGTCTAGTACCTATCCATAACACAAGATCAGCTTATCTTGGAACTTGATGGCGCTGTGTGAATTGTCCTGAGTTATTATAGATACTATTATTATTAAGATAATTGACGCAGCATTGTACGTTTGCACTACATGGCTATTCATTGTTTTTCCTAACATTCAGATACCAATTTTTATTGAATTATTGTTTCATTGAAAAACCCCTTTACTATAATTATTAAATTTCTCTTGATTATAACAACAGTTGAAAATATAGGTTTATAATTGAATAAAATCAGTTAAATTATAAATTATTAGCTTCGTTGATTAAATGTATTTATTTACTGAACTTGTAATTGAAATGAACGTCATTTTCATTTATAGTTTCTGCATAGTTTTTTCCAGAGAAAAAAACTATTGACAGAACTGCTATTGTCAGCCGAAACAGTAAGGCCGAAATCGAAAGTGTTATTGAAAATACTCAATTTGTTAATTAAAGAGCACGTTGCTTAAGAATTGCTACATCTTAGAACTCCATCCATCATTGGTGGGTACTCAATAAGATTACAGACTGAGGTCGTTGGTTCAATTACATTTCGAACTGCGGTCAAGCATCCGTCTGATTATACAATTGGTTAACCGAAAGTACTCAGTACAAATAAAATGTATCCTCATTATAGCCATTCGACGACCTCGCTCATCTGGCGGTTTGGCACACTGCTTTACTTTCGATGGTCGCGGGTTCGATTGCAAACATTTACGAGTATGATTGTTTGTATCAGTCTGAGTGTATTCTATTAATATTATGTATGTGTATGTATTTACAAATAAAATTAACTTTTATTTCAGTATTTGTATCAGTTGTCTAGATAATTATGGACAAGCTCTGCATAGCTTGGGATTTTCCTGGGTACTTATTATTATTATTATTATTCGTACTTAACGATATCAGCTATAGATACCTATTCAAATTACTATACTGTTTTGTGATTTCGTAAAGTTGCACGCTGCACTATAGTAAATTAATTGGCACACCTCGTTATGGTTGCCTTACCTGCCATGGCAGTTTCGTCTGTGAGTACATCTAGCCTGTTTAATTATAGGTGCAGTTCTATAACGAGCGGACTGACTTGTATCTTAGCATATTAATTCGTTTTTGATGCAGCTTTATGTAATATAGGATAGGTAGGATAAAATCTTCATTAGTAAATCAGTGTTTATTTGCTTGTACTACAATACGAATGTTATTATTATCTATTATAAATATTATTAATACAGTTTGTAAGATTGTTATACAATCACACTTAAAATATTAAAAAATGTAATATTTATAATGATAGTATATGCTATATTAAATTTTCCTCCATAAATTCTTGAGGGCAATTACCAATAGATTATGTGCTTAATATTTTTTATTATTTTGGTGTTTAAAATCCGTTAATTCCTCCTTATGACAAGATAATACGAGTATATATTTAAAATAAGAACATGTAAGTATTCGACTAAAAATATATGAACATTCTTGTTTGGTTCACTTATTAAGACAAATATTTGTCAAGTAATCTCTTACGAGTTTATTATTATACTTATTATAATTTATAGAATTCATTATACTTAAACTATGCAAAGTAATTACGTTATGCGTGCCTATTATAATATAATTCAGTCCCGTGGTAGCAGTTAGCATTTGTAATAGATTGCATTTATCAAATTAACTTGGCGTCGGTATGTGCAGACGCCATTATTCTTAATGATGTAGTAACAGGCTTTTGATGACTGTCTCCAACCATGAATAAAGACACCTTAGAACATAACTAAAAGATCGAATACGGGAACGATTGAATAGAAAATGAGTAACTAAGTGAGTATTTGATGTTATAATTTTATTGACTATGAACATTTTCTCATAACGAAAAGCAATAAAACTATAATGATGATGTAGGAAAAAAATGTAATGTATGTAATGGGCACCTACCCATTACATTGTGAGTAATATATAGTTAGTGCAGGACACAGACAGACAAACGTGTCCTTTGTTTGTGTACAAGACATCCTGCATCTGGATGACCCACTCCTGACCTCTTATCGTAAGCTCGTCTTAGTATCGAGTGGGCCACTGGACGCATGAATGTCTGAGTTAGGTCTTGTCTCGTCCGCCTTTGTTGAACGGTAACACCAATATGGTTGATATTCCTGGAACGTGGGTCCTTTATTTACACTTAACCTTCGAAGTAACTTTTGTAATATAATAATACTTTAAGCGTAAGTTTGTACTTTTTAATATTGTATACAATATTTATGACATGATTCTAAATTTAATAGTTTCATACGTTTATACGAAGGTATTGCATCTAATATTATTAATATTGTAATATTATGCAATGTATATACATACTACTTATACTGATTTTACCTACTGTAGGTACGTAATGAATGTCTTATCATTTACAAATTGTTTTCGTAATTAGTTTCCTATAATATCCACTAAACACTAATTAAGGCTAATGCTACGAGTATAACATTGAATACATCCATTGATATTATTATTTATTTAGTTAAAATAATATTTACACGACTACATGTCTTTGTTAATATTATAATATTCTACATTCCGTTTAGTCACCGCAAACAATATATACATATTTTGTCATAATAATGTAAACAACAATTTCAAGATGCTTTATCATAAGCGGGGATGGTGGGGGACGGTTACCAGGAGGACTAAGTATTCCCACTTAAAATAGGTAATGCATTTGTAAGCTAGCTGAACTAATTCCCAGTGAATAGGCCACGATGAAATTGATTCACCTGATTAAAATCTCAACTTATTTTCTACCGGTGTGCTAGCATATACCGTTAACAGAGGTGGAAGTATAATTTCATCATCGCCAACAAAAAACATGTTCTTTATGAGTGATATACTTAGTTTTCATTAAAAGTACTTAAAATAATAGGTATGGTATATGAATGACTAAGTTCTTAAAAAACAAAATGGCGTTCAAAAACCCCGCTGTCGATGTAGGTACGCTACCCAACCGCAAATGTCAACAGACAAATTCTAATTATTAAAACGAAATGCATTGTTCGATTTTCCGAAGCTGACCCATTTATAGAGTAGTTACCTATACCAAACGAAATAAACAAAATACAGGAAATATTGTTTTAGTTTAAGTACAGTAAATTACAGGAATTTAGTAAATAAATAACGTGGTCATACATTTTCATTTGTTCATGACTGTCCCATTTTCTGAATATCTGTTCAGTTGTCCTCAGTCAGATAAAAAATGTCCCGCATTTGCGAACAGACAATCTCTAATGTTTTATACGTTAAAAAAAAACTCTACGAACCTATTTTTAGGGAGAGTGAGAGGATTTTAAGTAACGAAGACTGGAAGACCCATTGTTATCAATGTAACATACTAGGTACATGCACATTCTCGTCGTCGTTAATGCCAATGCCCAATGGCCGTGGCTTCTGGAAGCTTAACTTCATCCTCATTAAATCATCTTCCACTGGCGATCTGCTAGCGTATACTGGTAGAGCCGGCTACTGCCTTGCATATTCATCGATTAAAAGAATACTGTACATTAATGTCATTTGTTAAATATGACAATACTGAAAGCCAACTTTGTTTATGAAGATTGACATCAACAAATGAAGTGACAATCTCTATGCCTATTTGAAAAGTTGTAGCAGGTTTTTTAATGTTTTCACGCCGTAACGGCTTGACTAATCTTCATATAAATCGATACTTTTGATCTATAACACGGGTGAAGTTGGGCGTGAGATAGTGTATTATAATTTACTCTATAAAATCAACTTCATTTGGGATGACCGCGGCCATTGACTTAGTAACAGATATAACGACAGATGGTAAACCGGTCGCCAGTATTTTTTAACTACTGGTCTGGATCATAATTGTTAATTTGATATAGGTACATATATGAAATTAGTTGTTCCTTGTAGCTTCACTTGCGCGATTTGTTCTTAATGATTAATCTAATGACATAAAAATATTACTAAGAATAACGCATACAGTAGTAATTAAATACAGCATATTTATAGTAATAAAGTAATATCACCAAGAGCTCTAAGAATACTTTAATCTTAGAATTGCGTACCCTAATGATACTTTCTCAATTTAGCAGAGTGAACTCACGATAGTCATCGGGAACTACGTACAACTAATAGTTGACATTAATGAACAATAATAATAAGGAAATATGTAATAAGGAATACAAATATAATATAAGTAATAAGTCTTAGGGAAAATAATTATGATCAAGCTAATAGAATGTAATATTATGAGTATGT